CTGTGGTTTAGGTGCTTGTCCAGCAGAGGGAAGTCGTAGCCTCTGGTTGTATTACAAGCTCTTTCAGAGGAGAAATCCAGTGGCTTTAAGATGTGATGAATAAGCAGCCTTGACTATCTTTTTTCTCTCACTGGTCAGGATCCTTTGAGTCCTGATTTTAGGTGTAGAAATGTGGTACCTGTGTCTTAGCATGTCATTCTAGTCTTCTTTACAGAGAAAAAATAATTTGTTTTCTACCATCAGTTGAGGTGCATTTTGCAGTGAAGTTCTGCTTTTCTCTCTGGTGGCTATAAAAGGAACCTGGGTGACTATCTTAGACACAGGAATTTCACAGGTCAGCACTTACATTAAGCCACACAAATTTTGCTCCTGTTTGCCATAGCTGCCAAGACAACATTGGTGTTAGGATGAGAAACATCTATTTTGCTACCCTTTTGCCTGTTTCTTCCACTGAGTTGCTGCAGACAGATAATTAGGACATAGCAATAACTTAATATCAGCGTAATGGTCATTATGCTCTCAAATAATTGAAGAAACAAAGCATCTTTGTAGGAAGGCTTTCCCTTTCCCCTGTCTAGCATATCACTTGATAATACCATTTACTCCTGTAATTAAAACCATTTTTTTCTGCAACTGACTCTCTATACTTCAAGGTTTCCATCGCAAGCGATTGCTCTATTTTATGCTTTCCACAGAAAATATAACCAACTAATTATGCCCTGGAGTGTCTCTGCTTACTTTCCTGCTTCCTCATATTCTGCCAGGGCAGGAAGGAAAGCCTGCGGTGATAGTTGTAGGGTGTATTTGCAAGCAGTTACTGTGTGTAAACTTGTTATCTAGCCTTGAGCTGACAGAGCAGATGAGTGGATGATCTGTTGCTACTGCCACTGTGTACTGTTTATCTCTTTTACATTTCCTCAAACACGACAGCTTCTTGTGGCTTTGCTTTCCTTAGCTATCAAGAAATAGGTATGCTTTATAGACCTAGCCATGCTAAAGGCTGAAATGACTTTGTGGAGGTGTTGGGGAATTAAAGGCCTGCCCAGAACCACTCTACCAAGCTCAAACCTTGTCGGATCTGGTGGAGAAAAGTACACCGCCTATTCTTCAGGCTTCCTTGAAAGCTGAACCTCTAATGTAATGCTCAGACTGTGAGGGGATTTAAGACATTTCTTGTAACAAATCCTCCCAAATTGGCAACATCTGTCCGTTTGCTCAGCACTAATTGCATCCAGAAAAAATTGCACATGAGGCTGGAAATAATGGAGTGGTGCATACTGGAGAAGAGGAAGCAGACATCACATCCTGCAGAAGAAAACTAAGCACCCCCAAATCTCATGCATGTCATTACTTAATACATTTGACAGCCTTTCTCATATTTTCTGGAACTCAAAGATTTGAACCTCTTTGGTTTTTATCTACATTTCCAGAGTGTCCCTGGCCTAACCCTTTATTTCTTCTTTAGTTTATACACACCCAAGCTGACTAAACATGACTGATGCCCTCTTGTGTCTTCAGGATAAACAGAGACATCCCTTCACCTTGGCTTTGTTCCTCTGAGTCTGTAGAAACACTGGGGATACAACATCAGCAGTGCAAGGACACAGATTATAGCTGTTGGCTGGGGAAAACTAGAAAGATCTTGCTCACCTCATGCATGGCTAGCTGTGATCTAAGACAGGACATGCTTCATGTTGATACTGTTACATCAAATGGCTGGTTTTTGCAGCAAGACAACTGGAAAATATTTTAAAAGGATTGCAGCCTGAAAATTGCCAGTAAACACAGAATATAAGTTACAGTGCATCAGAAGCAAACCTGTCACGTGAGCAGTCCCAAAGTGCTTTTTATTTCTTTTTATAAGCAGTTAGCAACACCTGATATAAATTTTGTTTGTTATGATAGCAACTGATGCTCTCATAGGAAACATTATAAAAAACCCGCATTTTACTCATGTCTCCTTTATACTAGAAAGTGTGTATTTTTCCAGCAATTTTTGCTAACACACAAAATACGATACCAGTCTTAGTGACTTTACCGATTCCCCACTTAATATGCTAGCATAAAAAAATAACAGTGCATGTTTCTGTTTGCAAGAAAACAAACTCTTAGCTGCTATCTTTTTTTTCTTTTTTTTTTCCCTGAAGAAACTGAAAACATCTGTAGAAAATCAGTACTATTTTCCATTTAGATGGTAATTTCAGGGGATGTTGTGAACTATTGGTAGAAAACATGTGATTGCTAATGGGTCATGTACCTACAGCTATAGAATTATAGAGCAAGTAGACTGTTGTTTTCATCTACTCTAAGCAGAGTACTAAGACAATGCTATTGTACATAAAATGAGTAATGTGCTTCAAGTAACTGACATTTACCAGCATGTCAAGTTCATCATTTTTACAGTCATAGCTGAAATTGCATTTGCTAAATTGCTCTTGTGAAGCAAACTTTTCATTCTGATACATTCCCTCGTTCTCAAAGTATAATTCATCTTCTTGTAAAAGCACTGATCTTAATCCTTAGCCTCTGTTAAGATTACTAGATCTTCCAGTTTTAAGTTTAAGGCTCTTTATCTTAACACTCCCTATGCTGATGCCTATTTGACCCGTTCTACTTCTTGTTTCATGTTCAGGGGTGCCTTACACACTGCCTACTGCCAGATGTAATGTAGATTGGACCAGAAATTCAGTATAATTCTGCATTGTTACTTAGATGGTATCATTATTTTGTGAAGTAAGGTTATTCAATGTACCACGGAGCAGTCTGCTGGTACCAGGACCTTTAAAGCAACTATGGAAGTGGAGAAAGAACATTCTGTGAATTTGATGTTGCACAGAACAGGTGCTGAATTCCTTCTTGTTAGAAACATATAAATGAAAAGTGATCAACAGAAGACGAGGATAAGTAGGAGAAGTTGGCGTTCCTATAACAGGCACTGAACTGTTTTATCTAACAAAACACAGAAGAACAAAGGGCAAGGAGGAAGCTATTTTTTATCACTAGACTGTGTTCTGAAAGGCAAAACTCGAACACAGGCAACCAATTGCACCAACAGCAATGAAAAGATGTGGCACATGAGGATGGCAGATGCTATGCTGTCTTCACAGCCTTGAAGAGGGCTGTCTGTTTTGTCATCATTTCTAGCTTAGGTACTGCTAGAAGTACTGAACTACTGCTCCAGCTGGATATTTTCTCATACAACCCCCAAAATCTCCTTGGTAATGGCGGCTGGAATCTTTGTTCACTACCAGGGTATGTGCTGGTGCTTCCACGTGGTACTTTCAGGTACTTTCTTCACATCCTCAGAGTTTCTGCTGGCATCAAGATTTTGCATAATTACGGGTCTTTTTTATCTTAGTGTTCAGATATTGAGGCCAGTCAGCTGGCATCAGTGTTGGGCAGAATGTCGGGCCTTTTGTTGTGAATAGGATTCGTGCACATTCTTTACTGTGGGACCTGGGCTGCAGCCAGCACAAGGAGATCTGAAGGAGAAGGAGGACTGCAGCTCCAGAAAATGGTGGGGTAAGAATGGCTGGCAGAAGAAGACACTTGTGAAAAAAAACAGGCAGACAGACACACACATGCATACATGCACACACAAAGAAACAACAGGGCTTTGGGACATGAAAAGATGTATCTCTTGTCTGAAGAGCCTTTACACCGGTAAAGCTTTTTATTTGAAACAGATTTGCTTTACAGCAAGAAGTTATCTTCTGTTCACAGTTGTGTTTTTTTTTTTTTTTTTTTTTTTTTTTTTTTTTTTTTTTTTTTTTTTTCTGTAGGCTTTGATAGAATTGTTCTTGGGTTACTGTGATCATGTGTTTGAGCCTAATTGTACTCTGGAGTGATGTCTTGCTCTGAAGTTTCTGGGGCACTTGGTGAGCATGTCTAACATCTGAATGATCAAGTTAGTTTTGCAAGTGAACAGTGCCTGAGAAGCGGTGAGGAAAAGCATAAAAGGCTTTCAGACATGTCCTTGTGTTAGAGTGCACTAGCACTCTATAACTAGCTGTGATGTGGAAGAGATGCCACCACCGCCAGCACTGAACCTGAGAGAAGAGCTGTGTCGCAGAGAGCACAGTGCTATCCATTGGTAACTGCTGCCTTTTCATTATCAACCACTGTGCTATTGCATTATTGATTAATGCTATTCCTGCTGGTCCCTTATGTTCTTACTGAAAACCACTTAATGTATCAGCCACATCTAATTGAATAGCAAGAAGAGTGAGTGAAATGTCGTTCATCAGCACTCCTTCCATTTATAGGCGTTGGCAAAAGTAGTATGTCATTGAATATTGAAAGCATCCTGAAGGCATCAAATTTCCAGATACGATCCTGGCTTGTTAATATTTTATTCGACTAATGCTAGAAATGCTGCTACTACTAATGTTGCTCTGGACATGCTTCGCTCACTGTAGGGACTAAAAGTATTCTGTACATCTGAAGTATTACCATATCTCAGAATGATTGGTAAAGCATTACTCCAATTGGTTACTAAATCTTAAGCTGAATCGCATAGACCTTCACTGAAGTTGCAGAATTTCTTCTAAAGTCAGTGGTGGAACTGCAAATAGAAATCAGCTAATTTTTAAATATTGGTATTATAAATAACACCAAAAGAGTTTAGTCAGTATCAGGGCCTGTATAACCAAGATGTTATAATTACAATATAATCAAGAGAGTAAGGCAAACAGACAATGATCACAAAAGAGAATAAGTGGAAGAGCTTACCCTTGGGTTGAGCTCACCAGAAGATACCAAAAGAGGGGATCTCCAGAAGAGATCCTTCCCCTTTGGTAGCCAGCTCTTAAATAGGTCTAGGAGGGGTGCAGCCAGGCTCCCCCCCCTTCCAGCAGCACAGGTGAATTGCCTTCAGCTGTGCTCCTCTGGCTGACTCAAGGCTCACCTCAGCTGATTAATCAGAGGTTCAGGCCGTGACTCAGCAGTTCCCATACAGGGCCTCATTATGCTGAACTCTGTACAGGTATGTACAAGGAAGACCAAAAGTCTTGGCTGCAAGGAATTTACATAGTGAATAGCCAAGACACAGTGCAGAATGAGGGAGACATTCACTACAGACAGGAAGCAAAGAAAATTGTTTTGCTAAGGCTGCTGTGTACCAGCAGTTGAAACTAAATTCAGATTTCTAGACTGTATGCAGTTTGTCACAGTTTATTTTACAATGCGCTTTTGATGCTTGAGGAAGGTTCTCCTGATTCCCTTCTGCTGTATGTCTTTATGTGATAATGAACGTGTATGAACATCTCCCATCTGGCCTCTTCCACTTTCCAGAGACTCCATTTACTTTGATATCCACATTCATTTCATTCTCTTTCAGTTCCTAAGGAGAAGTTCCGGAGTGGGATGTGGACCTCAGTACACCACCACCACACATGAGGTAAAGTACTGTTATCATCTGCCTCACATGCTTGTCTATGAATTCAGTTTAAAAATAATAATAAAATGGAAAAAGAAATGGAGAATTAAATGCACCTGGAACAAGGTCATTAGAATGGAAGGAGTACTCGTTGCCATTCTTATTGACACTGACATGATATATTAGGGTGTTTATATATCTTTTAGAAAGTAGTCTGTCTTCTCTTATGCCAGGTAAGTGATGAGGCAGGTGTGGAAGTTGTCTCCCGAGCAAAACAGGCTGTCACAAACTGAAGCACAAGATCAAGATAAGACTGTCATTGTGCAAGTCTCTGCTGTCCTGGAGCTAATGAGCACAATCTGTTTTTGCAAATGATTTCATACTTTTGTTCTTTATTATGAACATATACAGCACTTAAGTGTTTTCAGTATTGGCTGACTCTAGTATTTTGTAGTCACGATTGTGGTATTTAAACAGGAGGTGATCTGTTCTGCACATGGAAAAGGGGCTGTGTTACAGAGGAAATAATAAAGTGTTGCTGGGTTTTGGCAAGAGGGTGTTATGACTGTTTTCAAAGAATATACCCAATGTTCTTTATTTCCAGTACGAATCTATGGTGATTTGAATCTGATTTCTGGTCTCTACCTGGGGAGCATTATCAGAAATGCAAGCATAATATTAAATTGGAAAGCTTTTACGTGTATGCATGTTTGTCTGTTTCTTTTGTAGCTGCTATATAATATTGGTCCCCTGTTTCAATCTAAGCTGTGCTTAATGAGATGAAATGAGCAGTACCACTTGAGTAGGAACTATTGTAAATAATGGAGACCTTTTTTACAAAACTTCATGATACTGTTAATACCCAAAATGCATTCAGTATGACAAGCATCACATTGCCTTTGATTAAAAACAAAATGCCTTTCAAAGATTTAGCCTGGTGGCTGTTTTTTAAGTGCATTTCAAGACTTTCTGAAAATCTTGAAATATAAACATGATGTGTTTGTATTCTGAAAATGTGTTTGATGAGAGGCACCTAATTGTCTTCAATTCCTGGAGAAAGCTGAGCTGGTAACTAATCTCCAGTCACTGGAAGAAAACTTGCTTAGAGACTTGAATACAGACTTTCTTCTTCTGTTGTACCATTCCTGAATTATTTTTACAAGAAGGTTTATGTCTGGGATATACATACCTAGCTGAAAGGTAGGATAAACTCTTGAAACATTCATTACTTGTATCTCAGGAATAAAACCTTTCCAGGAAAATGCCTAGGTTTAGAAACTGTGCATCCTGGGACCATGTTTGTATATATTGTAACACACAATGCCAAGTATTATGCTAGGCTTTCTGAAGCAGGTCTATTTTTCAGTTTGAAGCATTATTGTGCTAAATTGGTGATTAATCTGTAATGTTCCAGCTGAAGAAAGCCTGAGTTCAGAAGGGTACAATTGCTGCTCTGGGTTTAGACATTGTCCAGCAAGGGGCCTCTGTGCAATGCAAGGATTCCAAAGGCAAATATTTGAACACAGAAATGAAAAGAGCATGAAGGATGCTGGCAACAAGGTTAGACCAGCTATTGCATTTCAGCAATGCTAGTGCATTGGATTTAGGAGATGGGTGGAGTAGAACCCTGACGTATTATATCACTATATCATCAGATCAGGTATTTTTTTTCCCCATTTTGTTCTTTACCATTTTTTTCCTCACCTTGTTAGCAGGGCTTGCAGAACAATCTATTGCAATATGTCAGATGCGAGCAAGTACTGTAAAGCAAGATCCATAGAGCAACTGAGAACAGGGATGCAGCAGCTTGTCTGTCAGGATGACACTGTCCTGACAGAGGAAATTGCAAGAGGGCAGAGGCTTCCATTTCCTCCTGGATTTTATCGGGATCCACAGTCTGCTGTGTAACACGGTACTGTCCACAAAATGAGAGTGGATCTCTATAACATCTCACAGTCTGAGGATTGCTGTCTAGGATTGCAGGAGAAGAGCATTTGGGATTTACACAAAAGTTACTGTAAAACTGGTTGGAGACCAGACCCACTTGTGTGTTTGAGGGAAGCAACTGGGGAAAAGAGGACCTGCGAAGCTACTGGAGGAATCAAGTGGAGCCCAAATCCTAAACTCAGCTAAAGCCATTTCTTTCCATTTATCTTGGCAGTTTGCATCTATGCAGTGTAGGCCTGATTCTGATTCTGTAAAGTCAGTGTTTCAATTTAGCCATTCATTCTTCTCAGCCTCCACAGAGACCTGTTTCAGTGTTCTGCGTTTGTACTGAAGATGTAGAGAGTGAGTTGCAGAGATTGCAACATGATGTACAAATAAATAGGGAATTTTCATCTGCTGGCTTTTTATATTTTTTCTCACTCTAAGCTCACAAAATGATGGAAAATCAGACACTTTGTGTTTGGAATACTCACCATCACTCTTGTATATTTGTCCTATAAAACAGATCTTTTCTGCATCTAGTTCTCTTGCTGTGGTTGTCTGACCATGAAATCTCTGAACTGAGAATGTCTATAATGTATTGGGTTTGGGAAACAAGCACATGAATTGTAACTAAGCAGCCTGGATGAGGAGAAGAGGTACTGTCTGGTTTCTTCACCAGGCTCCTGAGGAAAACCCCCTTCGTGAAGAGTTACAGAATGAAAGCAAAGTGTTTTATGAAATATGCATCTTGAAAACAGTAAGTCGATCACAGTGTCGCTTCAAGCTTTGCCACATGAAACCTCACCACTTCCACATGATTAATTGCTGCATGTCATATCTCATATAAAAGCCAGTAATGCATAGATATATTTATGCAAGGTGTGGCAGAGTGTATAGGCATATCAGTACACTTACATGTAATGCAACTTTCAATATACTGGAAGGCTTCCTGATGAGATCTGAGCTGTCCTTTACAAAGTGAGAGAGAACATTTTGTCTTAAGGTGAGCTAATGATATTTTTAACGTTCAGTTGAGTCTGGGGTGGCCTCATTAACAGGCGCTGCTTGCTGTGTGGAGAGAGGTGCCTGCAGCTGGCATCAACAGGGGCACAGGCCTTTTCTGTGGTATTGAAAGTGAGGAGATTGGGGGAATGAGAATTGACATCACTCCAGAAAATATTATGAATTAATAATTCTCTTGAGAGAGGATGAGCAAGGGTTAGAGTGAAGATGAGAAGAACAAAGCAAAAGAGGCTATAGAGGAAAGAATTAACCCAAGCAATTATAAGCAAATAATAAAGGACGGAGGAAGCATGCATTCCCTGGTGGAGATCTTTAGGTTTGCTTTTGCAGGATATGATGAACTGGCCTAAGGACAGCATTGTGAGCTCCACAGTAAAGGCACTGGCTTGACAGTTTAATAGAATATAGGAAGCTTTCTGAATGGAATCTGAAGATAGGTAAATATTAACATAGTCATCTTCTGTTCAGCCATTTTGCCAACCTTTTTTTGTATTCAGAAACTTTAAATGAGAAATGAAAGGCCCTAGGCACCATTTCCTCCCAGCAGATGGGTCCCACCAAGTGTAGTATGGGTGTTAGGAGTTGTGAGAAAGTCCATGTGATGATTGAACCCTAAAGGAATCTAACACTCCCTCGCATTTCCCCCTCTCCACCACGTTCAATAACTGAGCACACAAAAGCTGTTTGGAAAACAATCAGTTTAAAATAAAACTTAAATTTTGTTGTTATATAAATGCTAAGTGACAGCTATAAAGAAGCAGACTGTGTGGTGGTGGAGCTGTTGTGTCCTTTCAGGAATGTTTAATAAAATTTCATTAAAGAAAATACAAAATCTCTTAATGACAAGTCTAGTCCAGAAACTTTCCACTGCAACTTGTCATGATTTGTGTTAAGATTTTCATTGTTGTCACCAAAATCTGTTGGCTGCCATAGGTATAATATTTGTCAGTACTCAGATTCACCAAGTCTTTGGATATCAACAGGAAACAATACGTAAACCTAATTTGTATTGCTTTAATCTTTACTTGATGGACTTCATTGATACAATCACCGTGTAGGCACATTTTACAGGCACTGCTAATTCCTTATCCAGGGTTATGATTATCCCTAAAAATAAAATAGAAGTAGATGTTATGCTATTAATTTATGTATTTTAGCAAAAGATCAAAGCCACATAACCTTATATGTAATTATTTCATTTAATGATACAGTTCTACATTTGCATCTGCAAAGAAATGTACTAACAATGACTAATTAATCCTCAAAGCAGCTCTTTGAAATAGGTAGATAGACATAATTGACCCAATCTAACCAATTTCTTGCCCTAGGCAATAGATTGAGTCAATATTTAAGCCAAGATTAAAGCTCGGGTACGTCAAAGTCTTACTCTCTGTCCCTTACACAGAGTAATGTGTAAGAACTATCAGTTCCCAAATTTCCTTACCCCTACTTTGCTGTAATAATTTAGACTGACACACATTTTGACCCACACCAAACCTACACTGTCTGTTGTATGTCAGAATGATTCCCCTGGGTCTTCCTCTCAAAACCTCCTCCCATTCCAGGCAATCAAGGTATGAAAGGTCTAACTTTTCCCTTCTTGTATCCAGTTTTCACTTCCTTGTGCCTATCACTTCCTGACTAGCATTTTACACCAGCAGACTTCCTCCCACAGGCTCCCTGTAATTCAGGTGTCAGTGTTTCTCCTTGGGGCCCCATTTCTGTGCTTTACATGCTCCCCAAGGGGAACCACCTATCTGTTCTCCTACTCCTGGCTGCCTCAGCTCATTACCTGGGGAGCTGCTCTGCTATAGGCATCAGGGAGGAAGCACTGTTCCTAGAGCTGATATAAGCTGCATCGTACGTACCAGATGCATTAAATAAGGAGACAATTCAAGGAAAGCTTTTCACAGTTAAATAGCAGCCACTATTCTCATAGATTATGGCCCAAATCAAGATGCAGCCCATGGCCCACCTGTCTCTTGCTGTAGGTGGAGATTCATGAAATATTTGCAGCATGTTGTGAGTTACAAAAGCACTTTATGAGAGCAGGGGTAGGCGTTGTTATTCAGGTAGTATGGAAGGCTAATGATGTTTGTGAAGAGAAGAACAAAGAGAATCTGATGCTGTAATCAAGAACACTGCTTTCCTTGAAATAGTCTAGTGGCAGTATGAATTAGGGTGAGATGGTTCTGACACCAGTGAGCAGCAGAGAATGCAAAGTGACAGCAGCACTATGATAAAGTCCCAAATTGATAGAAGAAACTAATGTAATTGCACCAGAACCTGAGAAATAGTGCCAGTAGATTTCCCACTGTGGCAGTGCTTAAGACCTGATCAAATCTTACCAGGCTATAGCTTTTCTTATTTGATAGGAAATGGAGTTAATGTGATATACCCCATAGCTGTTTTTATTTGTGCTTTGATGTAATATGCCCAACCAGAAGAGATATGCACTCTGACTGTAGGGTTCTTCTTCTCCCAGAGAACTTGGTGAATGGACCAGAATTATTCCTACAGGCAGCCAAGTTGGCTGCTGAGAGTGAGTTGGCCTCAGCTGACATGCCACACAAGTTGATGTGACACACTATCATTTTAATCATTATTTCCTTTACTCTATAGGAAAACTTACATCTTCACATGGTTGCAGTAAGGGGAAAGAAGACATGCAGAGGACATGAATTTTTCCAGCAATTTCTCACCATATATAAAGATATATTTTTAATGGCTGCATAAATTTTGACTCATTTCAACTTTTCCCAAGGTGTAGTTTTCTATTGGTGATTGGGTAGCTACATGTTAGTTTTAGAAAAGCAGTTGATAGTCTGTTCCATCCTCTCAGGCATTCTGCTGCTGACTCAAATGGTTGACATCTTCCTAAAATGTCTACGTAGCCTGTTTTAACCAGGAGTCGATTGGGTTTGACTAGATAGAACTGTATGTGGTGCAGAAGATCAGATGTACAATCATAATTGTTCTGCTTTGCCTTAGATCATTGGATTTAGCTGAGTGCTGAGTCTCCATTCAGCATGGTTTGAGAGTGTAAAAGCTAGAGCTCTATAAAATGGGCATCGTACATTCAACCAAAAGGAGAATGGCTGAGTATAGACATATGGCAGGTTCATTTTTTTCACACTGTTGATAATCTCAAAGAACATGTAGTAACGGAACAAATCAGCATGTTGGTGGAGGTTCCTCCGCCACCCACACCAAATGATATTTTGGGGCATATAAATAGGAGTCAATTACAATAACACATCCCTTTCATTCTGAGTAATTGCTACTAAAATCCAAGATGACTGCTGTCAAAGGGGGATGTGCAAAGGTACTAGAATTCTTTCTGCTTTAAAATAATTATGCACTGTAAATACATGCAAGAGAAAGCAAATTTCTAACAACCTTTTTGGAGAAGTAACTTCTAAGGGAAATAGACACACCTTTCCATTTTCTGACATAGTTTAAATGTTTAAGGACAGGTGACCTAGGACCACCCAAGCTAGATGGCAAAGTTTTGTTTTATGATATAGATTCATAACAAAATCTTGCATTTTGACAGTTGAATTAACAAATTCAGTCGCATGGGAAGTCTCTGTTCTGATATTTTCTCATGAAATTAAATGATTCTGCAAAAGTTTAACATGCATAGAGCCAATGTAGCAACTAAGATTAGCATAAAATATTGGAGGAAATGTTTTCCAAGTCTGGGAATGCATTTTATTGATCTCCAATATTGAGAGCATTGGAGCAACTGGTGAGCTCAAGGTGAAATCCTAGCCCCACCAAAATGACACCAGGTACTTCTCCTGTAGTGAACAAAATCTTTTTAAGATTATGACTGATGAGATACAAAAGCATTCTTTGTCTCCCTCAAAGAAGGAGGAAGAAATGAAATGTCCTCTTTCCACTATGTAAATTTTGCAGGCAGTTTACTGCATTTAGTGAATTGTTACAGCATATGCAGATGAACACTTCCCACCCGCTCTCCACAGATCTGGCACACTGTAATCACTTGTCCTATATTTCTGTGCTGTATGATGTCCTCTACTGCTCATAGAAACACAGCCCACAAAGCTGAAACAAAGGTCCCTGAAGAATTCAATTTGCCAAAGGTTATATCTGTCTCCTCTTTTCAGGCCAGGATACGTGAGACTCGTTGCTGCCCTTTTGGCCCTGTGGCTCAGACTAAGCAAGTCCATTACTGCCTTTTAACCTTGGCTTTCACCTTTGGAGCTACAGAGCTTGCCATGGAGCTCTGAGCTCCACCTGACTCCGGGGATTTGCCAGGGTCAGGCTGGAATTAAAAAAGACTTACACAACCAATGCGTGCAAAAGGAAATATGCTAAGCACTTTCAATGAAATTCAGCTCATTGAAGATCTTTCAGAAAATACATCCATCACTAAGGTACCTCCTGAAGTAATTACGCATAACTATAGCATTTGGAAATCTCCTTTTGCATCTTCCACTTTAATCTTCGTGCTCCCATTCCTTTTTCTTCTCTCTTTTCTTGTTAATATAAAGTTATATCTGCACTTGTTTGATCAAGAGTATTTCTCATCTTGAATCTCTGTGTAACTGTGGGATAGCTTCCTATCTCTTAATACAATTAGCTGTAGCACCGCATAAGTGCATTCAGAATATGAGCAAGGAAATCTGTGATCAATGCAGTGTCCACAGTGCTAGCAGTGGGAACTGTTTTTCTCCATTTTACCACTGGTCCCAGCTTCACAGCAGGAGGGATATTTGGATGGATCTTTGAAAACGTTCTGAATATCCTACCACTACTCAGAAACTAGCAATGAACCTGAACCTTCTCATAGTTCATCTGCGTCACACCTGAAGAAATTGCTCATTTATATAAGTATGTACATAAATTTCTTATACATAAAAAAGGAATGCATGTGCATATATATAAACCTCCTACATCATCATTGCCTCCAACAGAAATGTATTTCAGATGCACTCTATACAGAATTTTTAGAAGATTTTAGGAAAGGTTCATGATTTAAGTTGCCAGCGTGGAGACATTTTATGCATGCTTAATGCACTGTAAAGATCAAAATTTAATGATCCTGAGTTCAGTCTGTAAAAATGGAAATATCACAGATCATTAGACACTTGCATCTTGTAAATTTTAATTCTGAAAGCACGGGCTGTTTTAACTTGTGTTCTGAAGTGAACATATGTTAAGTTAGGTAGGACATACACAGGAGTTCATTCGAATTTAGAAGAATATTATCTGTTTGATCAGGTATTGTATCAGAGCTTTTATTTCCAGAGTCACGCACAGAAATATAGTGGTTAAGTTTCACATTCAGTAAATTATCTATCAGTTTGATAGCTTTGCTGATGCTTTGAACAGAACCAAATCCTGTGATTTTTGAACAAATGAACTGAACAATTAACACATTTTCTCACTTAAAGGAAGATTTTTCTCTCCTGACTGCACTGCATGTAAATCCCTAGCATCTATGGGAACATTTTTAGTAGGGTCAGGTCAGAATGTGTGTTCCAATACCAGAACAGTCCTAGTGCACCTCTTTAGATTAAAGCACTATCTTTAAAATGATGATTGTAATTAAAACTTCAGGTAAAAAAAGAAATCACTGCTTTATTTCATCTGACTTTTAAGGAAATCAGAGAAATTAAAGTAGGGAGCTTAGCTCTCTGAGCTTCACCCATTGCCAATAAACCAACAGGCTTTTCCAACATTTGAATCAATTAGAAGTATTTGACTCAAGTAACATTTAGAAAAAATGACTTGTGGTAAGACAAGTGATGACTTGTCTTCACTTGTATGACTTGTGGTATGACACTCAGAAGGGAAATAAAGAAGACAACTACTTGATTTAGGTGCCTAAAATCTGAACATTTTAAAAATTACTCTGACAGCCTGCACTTAGAAATAGTTTTATTTACAAAGAAAGCAGCTTGAATCCAAACCTCTATGGTTTCTGTATCAGTGTATATTTATGTTGCTTTCTGTTTTTTCATGTTATTGATTCCTAAACAATCTCTGCTACAGAATGAGCCAAAATACGTAGGAGAACCAATTTTACTTATACATCAGGATTCTGTGGATTAGGATCATCTCTAGTAATGTTTGGGGTTTTTTTTGTTTTTTTGGTTTATTTGCTTTGAGTAATCAAAACATGTGGCACAGAAAAATTCCTACTGAAATGATAAATGTCCTTACTGGTATGAAACTGTGCACTTATACTCTTACGAGTGTATGCCAGAGTCACGATGATTAAATACCATCTAAGGATTTCTAGACTAAGGCCTAGTGGAAAATTTGAAAGATATTCATCTTTATTTGGTAACTTCTGTAGAGTGAAATAGAAACTCTCTTGCAACATTACAAAGGTATGCCTTGTTGAAATGATACTTTTTATTGCTTTTAGAAGCCTTTGTGTGCAGGCATTTTCAATGGAGGTGATCATTAATGTGAGGGGCAGTGTCATTTCTTCACAGGGCACGATTTATCTTTATGAATTTTCCTTTGCATGAATATTGCAGTTCTGATTGTATCATTTAGTAGTGAAAGATCCTCAAGTCTTTTGTCATTTTCTTTGCCAGGAATGTATAATCTCTTCCTCCTTATGCAGTTTCAGTGAGGTACTTTTGACAGTCTTTTACCGTGGACTACTTAAAAAATCTGGACTACTTAAAGAGCCTCAGATTCCCTCTCAAGTGGGAAAAACAAGAACAACAGGTGAAAAGCTGGTGGAGGTTAGATCTTGAATTGTCTCCAGAACTGAACTATTCATTGAAGGTTCCATGGAAAAAGCTGCTTTTGACGCTGAGACTGGGCAGTTCTTCTCCATGAATCTGCATAACGCATAGAAGACTTGGTTGAAGTACACAGAGGTCCTTTACAGCAGTGCTCTTGTGCCCTCTCCTTGTGTCTGCCCCAAATCTCTGACGTTACTCAGTCAGTGCCTTTGCAGATAAAGCTGATCAAAGTCCAGTTTCCCTAGGAAGCTCTTTCTTCTCATGATCTAGTGTTAGGATTCACCTGGTGAACTGGATAGGAGAGCTGATTTAACTAAAAATAAATCCCCTCTTTGTGCTGGTTTACTTTTTTGCTATATCAGCTTCCCAAATCTCTGCATGTAACAACTCTGCATCCTATAAACAAACCATAGAGTTGCCAGCAAAAATTGGAGGCAGAAATTCCTGCAGTCATGGTTTTTTTTAATCATTTACTCACAGTAACTAGAGAACTGGGAGATATCCAGTGATCAAAAAGTCTGACATCATAGCCCCTGAATGGGAAGCTTCAGAAGAAACTGGGAAAATGTGGGTAATTGTTTACTAAGCTATCCAAGTTGCCTGATCTTCTATTGCCAACCTTCCTGCAAAGTTTTAAGACCTTTTGTAACAGCCTTATCTTGCCTGCCATGCTAAAGGAAATTAGAATAGTTGGGCACTTTTTGTATCTGTTTTCTTCTCCAGGTTCAACATGAATCAATTTTAATTTTTTTCATAAATTTAGAATACTGCAGTCATATGGTTTTTATTTAGTGGTGCCACTAGAGGGCAAGATGACAGCTGTTAGCCATTCAGATCTTAGGGCTTTGGTCCTGCAGACGTTGAGGTTAATGAGAATTTATTGACTCTAGCAGTGCTGAAACATGCCATAAAATCCATTCTCTTCCACAAATAGTTGGGATTTTCCCCAAATCCTTAAAAATTAAGAAGAATTTCTTTAATTTAAGCTAACAAACTGTAAATAACTGTTAAAAGTACTTAACAAAGATTATGTATATTATCAATCAGCTATATAAAATAAGAAAATAGAAGTATTGTATAAATACATCCTTCTGAAATTATCTGAAGTTCTCCAAAATAAACAGCAGATCTTTCCAATTCTGAGTTAATAAAATGCTTCAACATGTATATATATACACACAAGTCCATGCCTTCAACATATAGACAGATTAAAGTTTACCTCTACATTGGCAGTATAGATGAAATGCTGAGCAAATGTAGAAGAGCTGAACTCCATTCCTAATACTGTTTTATTATTGCCTAGAGCTTCAAAGTGTGTTTTGAAAATTACTTAATGTTGTCTCAGTCAGAGAGGCTTTGAGCTTGTCAGCTATCATAAACCAAGCTACATTTGTCCTGGTCAGTACTTGAATGGGAGGCCTCCAAGGCAAGAAAGGAACCTATGGGATGTGTGTATTTTCTGCTTTTAATCCTGCTGCTATTTCAGTCTCCCACATAAGTTCTTGTATTTCAGTTTGTTCTTATCATGAAATCTTTGTTTCCTTTTCTCTTTATATTTTAAAAAAGAAAATTGCATACAGAGAGTGGGAAAAATCCTAAATTACAAGCTCATTTTTATACCAAACATTATTTCTATAAAACTTCAAAGGAAATAATAATCAGAGTTTGGAATAAGGTCTCTAGCATCTGGCTTATTGTTTAAAGGACGCTGTGGATAACGTTTCAATTACCATGTTACTGTGGCCTCAACCCTCAATCGTTTGTCTTTAATTTTGTCCCACAAGTACACATAATTATGATAGCACTTTTTTAAAAGCAGCATTCTTTGCTTTACAATTTTCTAAACTCGCTTCGTCAGACATACGGCAAGTTGATGTGTTATAAAGGGATTTCCTACTGCAAGAGATAAGCATTAAACCTTGGAAAAATAGAGCTGTTAAGAGAACACAAAGGACAAAGGCGCTAAGTTGAACTTATCCAGCCTTTTGAGAGCCCAAATTTTCCATGTCTTCACACGAGCAAGCCTAATGACTGCTCCAGGACCCAGGACTAGGGAGAGCCAGCTCCTAGGCGTGGAGGAGAGCCTCAGCTCAGCTTGCTCCTCAGAGCAAGTTCGAGCACAAAGCCCTGGAGTATTCTCCTGGGTCAGATCAGTTTTACATATTCTTCTGAAGCCGTCTGTGGAGAAAAAATCTGAGTTTCAGCACAAGTTTTGGTAGTTTTGGTGCCTTCATCCTGACGGAATATCTGAAGATCTCATCTTATTCTGCATGACTGGGCCAGCTTGTCCCCTACACAGACACCCTTAAAATCTCCAGCCTAACGTGTGAGGCCCAAAAGCGCTAGACTTCCATGTCTGATGGGTCCGTGCCTGCTCTGCTTCACCCAGCTGGGCTCCATGGCCCTCCGCTCTACAACGCCATGCAGTGGGTGACTGACACCAGGATGATCAACTTCCTACACTCCATTGGCCACAAAACCACTTGAGAAGATGGTCCCTTGTGAGCATGTCTCAGGACTCAGAAAATATCCAGGATGGAGCCATTAAGGCCAAGCAGATCACACTCAGCACAGAAATGGCTACAGCTCCAGGGATGTGCGTGAGGACCGATTCCCATCGAAGTGATATCCCTGAGGCTTGACGAAATACAGTGGGGAGCTGTTTAAACAGAAGTGAATAGTCAGGTACTGTCTTTCATGACAAAATGTGCTGTGGAGATGGTTTTTGTCCCATTTGTCTTTCCTCTTGCTGCTGGCCCTGAGCTAAATCAGCTACCGGTAGCAGTTGAGCCATCAGTGTACCACAGGCAAGAAGTTCAGATGGGGGCGTCATGTGTATGAGGGGGAAAGAGGGATCCCACTCTAGTGGCTCCTCCTTGTAAAAAATCTGAGACACACGGTCACTTTCTGATGAAATCCTACACATGGTGTAGGATATTGAAGTACCTATGAAGTATCTTGGCATCCAAGACCAGGCAGCTCATAAGATCTTGAACAAAATACAGATAAGCCTATTGTTACTGGTTAGCTTCTGCAAGACTGAGTCATTTATTTGATGGATGGTTGCAGAGCTAGTGTTTTTCTAAGGAGCTAGATCTATAATATGCAGGGTATTGCATGGTTATATGGCTTGACGCTATAGCTGCTGGAATTTCCCAAGTGATTTGAGTAACGCTGTCTCTTCAGTTTCTGCAATACTGAAGTATTCTGTACAAAAGTTTTCATCGTCAATGTTAAGCATATATATTTTAATCGCTGCATGCCCAGTAATTAGGTGGCTTTATAGGTCAGCTGAAACTAGTGATGAAAATTACAGCTAGTTGAGTAAAGTGTAATTATTGCATTTGTCAGAAATGCTTAAAAACAATACCTACGTGCGTATTCGACTAAAAATGAAATGTATTTGGAATTGCTGCCACCATACAAGTCATAGTTAATTCTCTTTCAAGTCCAGTTTCTCTGTTTATTCTGTGTTTGAACATCCACGTCTTGCCAAATTCCTAGGAGTCTCTGATGACAGTGCACCAGGAAAGAGAGGCTCAGGAGAGGAATCTGAGAAGATGGTGGAGATGGGGAGAAAATGAAATTCAGAGGACACCTGCTTGCATTTCAAAACATAAAATTTTGAGGTTTCAGAGAAAATATTTTGTCTTTCAGGTCGTCATATGTCATAGAAAAAAATAAATAGAGCATGAAAAGCAGATGTCAAAAATTAAACAAAGCCTCAGTTTTCTGCAAAAAGACTGCTTTAATAGGAATATTTTCATCAAGATGTTAAAAGCATAAGCCCCCCTGCTCATTGATCATCATGTTCTGCTCTGGATTGTAAAAATGTGCATGGATTATTAGATATTTTCTGAAGACACAAGTCAGGTTTCAGCAAAAGTTTGTCTCCATGCAATGTGTCAGTCCCTTGAACTATCAGCAACTGGCAGTGCCTGGGATCTACTTCCAGCTTTTAATTTTCCATTTGGCTAATCTCTCAATTAGGTAATAAGAAGCCATTTATACTTCATTAACAAGATATTACTGTCAATATTAATATATAGTTGATCCCCAAATTCACCATTAATTTCTGCTACCAAGGAAAGTATACCTTATCTTTTTTTTTTTTAACATTTGTTTCAATTGAGAGGTATTTTCATAATGTTCTTTACATTTTCTTATGCTAATGACATTTTTGCAATTAATGTGAAATTGCAATTGATTTGCAATGTAATGCGAAATATTTAATTATCAATCATGACAATACTGCTATGCATTTAGATAGAATATTTCACACCTAAATGTATTAACTCCATTGTCAAACAGCCAGCAAAAAAACATGACTGGTTTCTCTTAGCTACTGTTGCTTTGGAAACTAGTTACATGTCTTGATTTGTAAATGATTATTCTTTCAAAAAAAGAGACAGAGAAGAATCAGGGTTTTTTTGTTATTTTTGTTTTCTCCTTTCTCTATTACAATTAATATGCAATGTCAAAGAGCTCTTTTTCAAATTGGTGGGCTAAAGCTTCTGAACTATATGAGTCAGCCTTCTGAAAGCTAATTAACTCATAATTCATTTTAGAGCAGGCATTTCTCAGCAGAAACTTATAATCACAAATGAAGGACAGTGTAAAAACTAATGAAGTTTCATTCCCAGTTCTTTACCTGCCTTCTTCTGTGACCTCAGCAAATTTCAGGGTAAATACTGTTTATCTGTTTTCCTGTTTCTGGTTTATTGGGAGAGGAATTATTTCTAGCAATGACTACCTGTACATAATAGTTACTTTAAAGTGCTGCTTTCTGGACAGTATTCTTCAAAGAAGTTTCTTGTTGCCTTTGAATCAGTCTCCAGAGTTTTCCCCAACGTAACCAGTTTAGAAGGGCCTACTTTTGCTTAAGCTTCTGTAAATGAGAAGGTGGAAATGACAAAGAAGTCATCATCTTTCAGATTTCATGAAATACAGTCCCTGCTCTAGAATCTTAAAGCATTGTGTTTGTGATAATTTAATTCATAGATTTTAAATTGCATTATTTGTTTGTTTTAAGATGTATCTGTCTAATTAATTATAGTGCAGAGGAATTTATCAGCTAGGTCCACATAATTTTTAGAAGTAGTTCTTGTGAAACATAAGATGTAGAACAGATACACATCCATCCCACAGTTTATCTTTTAAATATACTGTTAGGAACACATCTTTTCTAGCTTCAGAAATTGCCTAATTAGCTCCGAAAAACTGTTAGGATGCTTTGTCTTCTCTAGTGTACTCAAAAGTACTGAGTTATTTTCACACTGGAAGACAGCAGGGAATCTGATTTTAGTACTAGCTTCACCATGATGCCGGATTTCTGGCATTAACCTGAAGAATTCTGTTTTCTTGGAATTTTTGTCAGGGATTGAAATGCTTTTGAAAGTTATTAGGCTGACAACTCTGGAGGTTGCCATCCTGTATTTATCAGTTAGTCACATCTCACTCTTCTATCTTCGGAATCTATTCTAGCCAGATGGAGAAGAACCATTCTTAAAAAGAGAGCAGGCTTTCATGATTTCATTCTGAGAAGCAGTAACCTTTGTGCAGTTTGACTCCTCAATGCCAAAACCATCTACCGAAATGGCACTCAAGTCATTACACTCATTTTCTTCTCAGTCTTGACTGGTACCAGCAGAGCTAGTAAAAAAGTTCACTAAAATATGAAATTTTCTCTCCTCTCCTCTCCTCTCCTCTCCTCTCCTCTCCTCTCCTCTCCTCTCCTCTTCTTTTTCTTGGAGTTAAAAGATAATGGTCAATTGTGCCAGAGAATAGCATCCCAAAGTTAACTAAAGTAAGATGCTGCAAATCCATGCTGTCACTCTTCATCCCTCATTACAGTGTCTAAAGTATAGAACAGCAGACTTGTAACTCATTCCACTATCCCTGCAAGACCTGTAAGAGCACCACTCCCTGACATTCTCCTAAATCCCCAAGTCTCTAGTTCTCTTACCAGGAAACGTCTACATAACAGAAAAGTTGTGTGGATAATGCTTATCTTGAGAGTACTTTCCTTGTTCCAACCCCCCAAAAAACCTCATCAGAGGAACCCATTGATACTTTTTGGATGTTCTAGAGCAAAATATTTTAATTTCTCTGAGTACTGTCCAGAATATCGACACTAATTTGTAGTGCATTTTACAGGATTGTTACATTTTAATTTACTAAGCTATACTGAATATCTAGTCCAAGCCAGATTAAATTTAAAGCAAACAAAAATAATCACTTATAAAATGCCCAGTAAACCCTATCATTAACTGTCCAATAAAATTCTGCTGACAAAAACTAAAGAAAACCATCAGTTGACCCTAGGCTTATATTTGAGTCATTTAGCCAATATGCTGTGTACACCGATGGTGGTCTAATCCACAGTCAGCAGTGCACACTTTGCACATACTGTATATGTCTAAAACAAGGTTGTATTCGTGGCAGATGAGAGAGTACTGATAGAGTAGGGAAGTGTGAATGCATTTCTGCTTAATCCTGTGCAAAGTGGGTGGGGAAGGACTGGCTCTGGGGTTTTCGTTGACATTTCTACCCCCCTTCCTGAGTACTGATCCTGCAGTTCTTCAAGACAGAGGCTTATCCACATAGATTTCTTTCCCACGTGTTGAAATGTTAATACTTTCTATGGCCATTCTCTCTGTTGGAGGAATATATATTTTGTTTGTCATGGCCTGTCTAAACTACTAGCATATCTTTCACATAGTGAAATAATATGCCTTTTTTTCCACTGGCAATGTGTAGAATTCGTTCTGAAGCCTCTTTATTTGGGGCATCTTATTTTTACTGCAAAGATGGGATTAGAGCTAGCTAGATACCAGCTCTTGCTTGGAAATCAAAGGTTTGGGAATCAAGAGATCTAATTGGGAAATGGCTGATCCTCAAACCTTGTCCTTAGAGAGTGTCCTAAGAAGTGATACTACTTCATTTGCATATGTGTCCTCCCTCCCCAGCAAATAGCCACAGTTCTCTGCTAATTAGCCTCAACTCTCTTAAGAACCCCTTTTGGCTTGCTGCAAGATACATGCAACCAAGGTTATGAACCAATTTTTCAAAAATATGGCTATTAGAATGCAGCATGTGACAAGCATCAATGAAGGCAACAGCTTAAAATTGTAACAAATGTAATTTTTATTCCTATCTCATATCATAATTCCTCCTTAATTTCTGATTAGGATTTACTTCTACATATTTCACAGAAGGCATTTTATCTTAGTCTCTGAACTACAGACTCCCCAGGTCTCCAGAGGAACATGCATTAAAGGATGGAACTAGATGTTCTTGTGAAAGCTGAAATCCGCAGTTTTTTAAAGAATGCCTTTCCATAAATACACCTCTCAGTCTATTGTGAATCACATGCATCAGTCTATCCATTCTGCAATTACTGCATAGGAACTATACATTCCAAATACATTACAGACTTATTCAACAGCATAGCAGAACAGAGAGTATTAAGCTATTCTTTTATTAGCTGCAGGAATTTTGAAAGGAAGGAAAAAATTACCTTTAGCTTAATACTTCCAGTGAAAGTAACAAGAATACATTGACCTCATCCACACTTCAGGGTTCTTCTCACTTCAGAGAGCTTTGAAGATTTGTTTGTGTCAGTAAATTGTCTCTTTTTCATTTCTCTGCCAATGATTGACATATATTGTTCCTGGTCTAAATTCTGACTTCCTCAGAAGAAAGGTAATGGTTGTTTGGAAAGTATTTAGCACTACTATTTATGCTTGCTGCTACAATAAAAAGCATGCCTGGATATATTTAATCAGGTAAAGCAAAAAAAAAAAAAAAAAAAAAAAAAATTTAAAAAAAAAAAAAAAAAAAGAAAAAAAAAAAAAACCAACACAAACTGATTCTACATACTCACATTGAGGGAGCTGTACAGCAACATATCTTGCCTGTTAAAAGAAAAAGTGTTGCTCCAGAAGTATTTTCATCCAATGACTGGGAATGAAGTATGCATCTCGGAGTGTGCCTTTCAATCTATGACTGACCAGAAGTATGGTTAGCAAAGTATGCTCAGTGACACAGAATCTTAAGAGAAAAGCCTAAATGCTGAGAAGAAGAAACAGACAATCTTTCATTTCCAGCATATTTTGGAGCTTATAAGAAATCCAATCAGTTATATTTTGCCTGTTAATGATGCACCAAGGCCATTTGATTGTATCAGCTGCCTAAAAGCATTCTGTCTCCCCAGCACAACACAAATATTTCAGTACTATTCCTAAAATTTAAGAGACATAACAGTTTCACTTAAAATTTTAACTTTTCGCATATATTTTGATTATTTCTAACTAGAACTGAAACAAAACTAAAGTTACACCTGGGCAAAGAGCTGTGATCCCTGTCAAGACCCCAGTCAAGAAACTGTGTACTTATTTAATGCCTAAAATCAATTGCTGTCTCACAAGATCGCTATCAGAGCTACAGGCTATACTTCATATATTGCTGAGAAAGCTTTCTGTTTTTATTTACAATTCTTTCTCAAAGAAAAAAGAATTTGAATTGTAAAAAAAAACATAAACAGTGAGCAAGCAAACAAATGAAATGATTACTAATAATTTTCATATCTGATGGGATGTATGTTTTTGTTTCCGAAGGATAGACAGTGAGCTTCAAACTGCTGGTGAATGGAGTTCAAAACAATATGAAGGACTGAGATCAGAAGCTTAGAAATCTCTGGAATTTCTCATGAGATGATTTTTTAATGACAGAAATATAATTTCCTGATATTTAATGGTTCACTTTTGTTACGGGAGCTCCTAATTCCTGCTTTACCTCTTGATTCTGTAGAAACACATTTTGTGTCTGTTAGACTGCAAAGATTGCTTCTATTGTACAGCTTTAACCAACAATTTATCTTAACAGAGTTTTGTTTATGGCGCTGAATTTTCCTCAGATTTAATTCAGTTTGGAGCTCTGAAATACGTTTTGTATCACCTTTGTACAGTTTATCTAAGTCAGTTTGATAGTTTATCAACAATTAGAAAACAGAAGGCCATCGGCCCATATTAAACAAGTGAGTGATGCAAGCATGAAGCACTGTCACCATAGCAACTCAGCTTGCACATAGGATGCTGTATTTAACCTTGGGGAGCTCTTAAAACTCTTCATTCCTGAAATAGCTATGAACTATGTTGTAATGGGGATGTGTCCTTAGTGCTGTAACAGTAGATTTGTCTCAGAAATGTGCAAATACTTTGGCCCAATATAACTTCTAAGAAGCCAATAGAGTAGGAGCATTCAAGCTGATATGGCTGATGGAAATCATGACTTGCTGTTATAAATGTGCAAAAACTGTTTGCTCTTTTTGGAAGCAGGAGGAAGATATCAATATATATTACTGCACTAAGGCAGAAAGCCGGAAATTTCCAGGAATTACTATTAGATTTTTTATCTATTTTCTTTATGTTATTCCACATAAACCTGTGGGTTATATCCTTCTATCTGCATGGTTACTGTGAGCTTTGTCTGGGAAAGATCAACAAATGTACTTGCTTTTGTGTTTGTCTCTGCAGGTTTGAAATTTCCAGCTCTTAGTAAACTAGCCATGTGTATGATATTAATTAGAAATGTGGATCTATATGCCCTAAGGTAAGCGAGGAGTCATGCGAATCAGCCTAGCTGCAGGGTCATTCTACCAGGCAAAAAAAAAAACAACTCTAGGCAGCCAATTTTTTGCTGAAGCCAAAATTTCAAGTGTCTTTTATAAGAACCATAGGAGTTTTAGTGGTGTTAGATGATAAGATCAGAACTAATTCTTAGAAGAAATAACCAGTGCTATGTTTCTGCCTCTCCTCACACGTGGGACTACTGCCTCACCATTTCCCCACGTAGCTTAAGATTTTCTGGTATGATAAAAGGCTGGATTCACTGGTGGCCTTGTTACCTAACTGCCCTTCAAGGTGCCCAAATCATATTAAGGTTTTCCCAAAACTCTTATGAGTTTCTTTATAGTGTACCTCGATGGTAATGGAAAATTCCTACTTTTCCAAAGGACAAATTGATGCTCAGCCTTCCGGCCAGTGTCTCAAAACTAGCTCTGGCAAGACTTCCAATTGAGGCCTTCCCATCTGTATCTTACCTGGAGAACAGAAGTACTGATATCTTTACATACAACGTACAACAATCTTCTGGGGAGGAGCATTTGTCTGCGGTAAGGAAATGTGAAATTCCGTCAGTAGAAGAAATGTATTTAGGAACACTTAAATCCCAGTGGATTTAGAAAACTCTATTTATCTGTTTTAGGTAATGACTAGTCAACTTTACCAATAAGTGAGAACACAATGGTGTTCATAATAGATGCAAATGAGAGAAAGAAGAAGCACTTTTATAGTGTTATAGCTGACATGGTGTGGATTTCAACCTTGTAACTAAGAGAACTGTACACAGGGAGATGTGCTAAATGTTGTTTCACCACACCCTGATATTGCACTGGTATTCAGGAACATGTGCTAGTTTTATGTTTTAGAAACCTGTCTGAACAGATTGTTTAAAACTCTCCATTATATTTAGATTCACAATCAGAAAACGATGTAAAAAAGGAAAAGTGCTGAAAAGCAATCTCCTAAATAGAAAAGCAAGAAATGAAAATACTTCTTAAATTTCTGCCAAATATCAAAAATCAAGTTATAAGAGAATTGAAAGTATTTTGACCAGTCTATGAGTTTTGTAAAACAGTAAGCACAAAAATTTTCAGTTCATTACATGACAGGTTCTGTACGTGGTAAAGTCAGAAGCCTGAGGTGCCCCACCACTCTAGGGATGAAAAAAAATCCGTATTTCAGGAGTGATAAGTGTTGAAAAAATTCAGTTTCAAGACAAATACATTTTGGCCCAGCTCTTTGGTAAGGTATAACCACGTTATCTCCTGTGTTCTCTGCTCCAGTGATAAACTTCTCAGCAGATAATTAGAAGAGACTCTTGTAATGGGGCCAAAGACACCCATCTGCCAGTCTGACCTTCCTGCCAGGACATGGGCTTCTTGTCTAATCCAAAACCTTAGGCACAGTGGAAAGACTGTTGGGGCATATCCAGTCCCTGACTGTGACTCATACTATTCATGTTACTCATCCATGTGGGCACTAATGAAATGACTACAAGGTTCTGGGAACACAGGGGACGGAGTCCAGGTCACAAGTAATACTCATCAATACTCCCAGTTGACTGTAGTGGCCTGTGCTGGGTCATATGAGTCACAAAGATGAATGTAGGTTTTCACTAATAGGGTTGGCACTGGGCTTCAGCTTCCTTAAAAATAACATGCTGCTTTTTAAAGGTGGAATGGTGGGATGAGGGAGATTGCAGGAGAAGTTGTCTGATACCAGTGCTCAAATTCTGGGAGAAAGCCTTAGATCTGGAGTTAAAAAGGACATATATTCAGTCTCCAGAGGAGTCAGTTATAGTTTTAAATGCTGTTGAAATGTTATAACTTATGCGGAGTATCACAGAGACAGGCAAAATATACAATCTAATCCTCAGACTCATCTCCAGATTTTTTTTCAGCAGAATGACTACAGATTAAACCATGACTTCAGGCTGTTTAAAACTACTATTTTAAGAAGTGAAAACTGCTTGTAAAAGTCACTGTTCAAATTCAAGAAAGAATGTGTAGAATAAAAAAAAAAAGATTTCTAGTAAATTCATATAATCACAGAATGATTGAGGTTAAATGAAGCTTCAGAAGGACTCCATCCAATCCCCCTGCTCAGACGAGGTTGGTTTGAGCAGGTTACTCAGGGCTGTGTCAATTCACAGAATCACAGAATCACCCGGGTTGGAAGGGACCTCAAGGATCATGTAGTTCCAACCCCCCTGCCTAGCAGGGCCACCAAACACACACATTCAGATCAGGTTGCCCAGGACCCCGTCCAACCTGGCCTTAAACACATCCAAGGACGGGGCATCCACAACCTCCCTGGGCAGCCCGTTCCAGGGCCTAACCACTCTCCTTGTATAGAACTTCCCCCTAACATCCAACCTAAATCTTCCCTCCTTCAACTTCGATCCATTTCCCCTAGTCCTGCTGCTGTCAGCCCTTTTGAAGAGTTTACTCCCCTCCTGGGTGTAGGTTCCCTTCAGGTATTGATAGGCTGCAATGAGGTCACCCCGCAGCCTTCTCTTCTCCAGGCTGAACAAGCCCAACTCCCCCAGCCTGTCCTCATAGGGGAGGTGCTCCAGCCCCCTGATCATCTTAGTCGCCCTCCTCTGGACCCTTTCCAAAATCTCAATGTCTTTCTTGTACTGAGGGCTCCACACCTGGACACAGTACTCCAGATGGGGCCTCACAAGAGCCGAGTAGAGAGGGACAATCACCTCCCTCTCCCTGCTGACCACCCCTCTCCTGATGGAGCCCAGGATCCCATTTGCCTTTCGAGCTGCCAGAGCGCACTGCTGGTTTCAGGATTTAAGTGTTTAATTCAGGATTTAAGTGTCCTCAAGATGAAAACTGCACAAAGCTTCCAGAAAAATTATTACAATTTTAGACCATTCACAATTTTTTTTTTTTTTTTTTTTTTTTTTTTTTTTTTTTAACATTTAAATGGAATTTCCTATATTTCATTTTATGCACATTGCCTCTCTGACAGTCACTGTGTAGCAATGAGAAGAGTCTGGCTCCATCTCTTCCATCGTGTAATTTTTCTGGAAAGGTATATGTTGGGAAAAGGAGTTCACAGGCTTTAATGTTTAGATTAACATCACTGCTCTGCAAAAGAGCTGAGAACTACCACAGGCACCAGGGTGGTTTGCCCACACCTGAGAAAAGTAAGTGCTGAGCCCTGCCCTCTGCGTGTCACTGTTATGAGTGAGTGCCAAGAATAACTTTCAGTGATTAATGTTAAGCTGGAGTGGCACCTCACATGGAGACTCATTTCTTCTGAGTATTATTATTAATCATCGAATAATGAAATTAAATTAAAACATTTTAAAAATCTGCAGACAATATGAAGGGAGGAGCTGCACCTACTTTGGTGACAAGCTCAGAATTAGAAGTCAAATGACTCTGAAAAGTCAGATATTATCTGAAATTAAAAGATGAAATTCGACAAATACAAATGCAAACAGGCAAATGTAACGTGAGTTAAAGATATGGAGGTTGTAGTGAATCACAAACTGGCTGTGAGTAACAACACTATATTTATTTAAAAAAAAAAAAAAAAAAACAACACTTCTTAGTCTAAGACATTTTTATAGGAATACTGTATGCAAGCCTTGAAAAGTAATTATTCTGCTCTACTTGGAAGCCAAATGGATCTCAGACCGGTGCGTCCACTGAATTTTAAAAAAGATGATAACTTGGTGAAGATCCAGAGGAGGGTAAAAAGAATGCTAATGGGTTTAGAAAATGCAATCCATAAAGAAAGGTATTTCTGTTCCTTTAGGCTAGAAAAAAAAAAAGATTAAAAGGGATAAGTCTTCTAGTATGTAAAACAGACAATTATAGAAAGAATGATGATCAGTTTTTCAAGAGCAACGAGGAAGGGCAAGAAGAAATCAGTACAATTTAGAGCAGAGAATATTTACTATAAGCCTTTTAAGAAGGAATATTCTCGTTGCTGAAATACTGGATTTAGCTCTCAAGAATACAGCTGAATACCTTTTATTGAGTATGTTTAATGCCAGTTCCAATACCTGTTAAGGACAGTGCAGGGCCATGGCAGGGTAGCTTCCTGCAGTCCTTTCAAGATTCTTATTTCTGTGTTTTTAGGACAAGTGATGTCTTCAATGAAATAAGTGCATCCTCTTCGTCACTTAGACAATTACACTTTCTGGTTTCTGGTTCTGATCCAGAATAAATGAGCATCCCTGAAGAGAGAAAAGTTCACATTCACCAGCCTCCAAGAAGATCTATAAGCAGGAACAAAAGAAATATTTCTTAATGTGTAATTGCAGTTTATAAAACCTGCTAATGTTACACTGAGGTTAGTCACAGAGGGTGCCTGACCAGACTTCTGGCAGCAAATGGAAAACTTTGAGCAATCTCCCTCCTCTGATGTAATCCTTTCTTTCTGAATCTTTTTAAACAACTCTTGCTAGAGATGTTTTCTCTCTGGGCACTCAAAATACTTCTTTTGTAATATGAGAGCATACCAAGCCCCAGATATTCTCAAGTGTCCTGGAAAAATACAATCTAAATTCTTCCTACAGTCCCCAAATCATTATCACCTAAAAGGTAGAGTTTATGGAAGATGAATGGCATAAAAGTTCTGTAGGTATATTAAAGGCATCAAAATAGTGATCCGGATCTAGCAACTTTTTAAAAAATACAAGAAACACAACTCTAATTTACCAGTCTGTAAGATAAACAAGAATTTATTGAATTGATGCATCCAATCTCCATTGGTAAAGCTTAATAAAACAGCAAAGTTCGTATGAAGACAGTTGCTGGTGCTGCTGTTCTTCCTCTAATTGCTGTTTGCATTCTATTCCTTGTAAGTCTGTGCATTCTTTAAAAACAAACACCAAAAAATTACCACCAAACCCCTCTGCCATATATAAGAGGAAGTTGCAGTCCCAAATCAGCTACAAACATGCAAACATAAGAAAATCTACAGGGTTTTCATAGCCAGAAAATCTGAAATAAGTTTTGGCGGAACTGGGATGACAGACACACCGCCAAAGTTTCAGCTCAGTCCCCACCATTATCTGTGTATTTTTGCCAGCAGTGAACAAGAGCCTGCATGCCATGCTCATAGCAATCTGCACCAGTGGAGATGACCCACTGTCCCTGTCACTGCTGTCAGAACTCACCACCCGCTGCCTCACTATGCTCACATCCACTGTTTGGTCTCCATAAACATTCAGAAAGCATCAATGAATGTCAGTGGATATCATTCTTCCTGAAGAATGGAGGAAATTCAGTGACGCATCTTTGCATCTTACATGCTTCTGTGTCAGACCCCATTTTGTCAGACTGCCCCTCTGCTGCCATCTGTCTCACAGCAACAACACATAATGGGACACTGGCAGGAAGGTTCAACCTCTACTGCCATACCACCAACATCCTACTCTGATGTCCCTGGCCTACAGAATATAATGAGAGGCATTATTTTTGGAGCAGTCCTTGCAAACAATCTGAAACGAATCTTTTTCCACAGGGATGAATTTATCACCTTCACAAATGAAAAGTTTGATTCAGCAGTAAGGTGTCACAGGGTCAAAATAAAATTTACGGTAAGGCAAAATACACTCTCGCTGCCTGATAAAACCTGTGCTAGAAGTGCTAATGTTCCTTCAAACTCAATTCATTCCAATAATTACATAGTCATTAAAGCAGAAGTCTAAAGGCAAAAAATACCTTTATGGACGAGTTCCTGTGAGTGGTTATTTAATCTAATTTTCAGTGCATCTAGATGAAGGGCTTCTCACTGAAGTTAGGACAATCTATCATCAGACTTTTGCAGTCATTCCATTTAATTACTTCTATATCAGGATCATTTTTATTCCCAGATCTATATGTAAGTGTAGTTTAGAAGGAGAATTTAGATTCTCACTGTATCACTCTCATCATTTTGTGACTTGCTTCACACTGCATTTTCTTCACATTATCCAGCACTAAATACACAGCTATTAACTTTGATGAAGCTGTGTCAGTACTATGAAGGCTGCTGCCACACTCAGATTCAAGCCTGCAAGCTCTATCTTATTGCCACCATGAGCATCTCAGGACAAAACACTGATCAGGAAAACCCCTTGCTATTGTTTAACTGGGTAATTCAAGACACATATAAGCTGTATTGCTTATTTAACCCGCACAGTGGAGGAATGAGTAGCCTTTCTTGCTGCACATGTCCGCTGCCCAATACTCCAACAGTGAGAGCAGGAGATGAAGGTGTTCACCATGTCATGATACAAGCTTATATTGGTGTGTATAATCAATGGATATCAAGATGTTACAATCACAAAATAAACAAGAGAAGTTTATTTCTTCTTGAAAATAAGAAAAGAAAATAAGAAAAAGTTAGGCGAAGTGGACTACGATAACAAGAGAATAAATGGAAGGCTTACCCTTATGCTGGGCTCACCTACAAAACACCAGAAGGAGGGATCTCCAGATGAGATCCTTCCCCGCTGGTAGCCTGCTCTTCAATAGGTCTAGGAGTGCAGCCTGGCTCCACCCCTTCTGGCAGCACAGATGAATTGCCTTCACCTGTGCTCCTCTGGCTGACTCACAGCTCGCCTCAGGTGATCAATCAGAGGTTCAGGCCGTGACTCAGTAGTTCCCATACATGGTGAAATAGTTCTTCCGGGCACATGAGAACTAACAACTGATTAGATTAAAAAAGAAAAAAGAAGAGAAAGCTAATGGTTCATGCATTCACCTAGGGGGAGTGCTCCTGATCAAGAGAATGGTTTTTTGCTTTTGCTCCTAGAATTCAAGCAAGGACTAGACTCACTTTTCTTCCCTTTTTGCATCCCTTTGTATTGCTCGCCAACCTTCCCCGCTGAGCATCCTAACAAGCCAGTTAGAGACATACTTTTATACTTTAATTCCCTGGTGAGCCTAATGAATGTTCACTGCATTGCAAAGTGGAACAGTTGGAACAGAAATAATGGGACTCCTCACCTATGTGCCTTAAAATAGCTGACCTAGTGATCAGCATATTCACCTGGATGTGGGAGATGTTAGGTCAGATTCCTTCAGGCAGCAGTAGAAGGAATTTAACGCAGACCTGCCATGTTCTAGTTGAGATAGATAGGTCTTATGTCTATGTGAAACTGCTGATCCCTTTACTAACACCAGACATTTATGAGAACATATCATGGTTGCCTCTGTGGTGCTCAGCTGGGTTTCCTTTTAACAGAAATCAGGGTGCAAAGAGCTGGGCCTCTTATCTCATCTATGTAGGACACAGGCGCTAAAGTAGGACTCAGAACCAGAAATGTGCAAGCGGTCCCTGTTTTGATGGTTTGGATGCTGGCATTAGATAACCTGGGTATGCTGGAAGATGCCTCTCTTTCCTCATGTTCTGTGGGAGGCAGAGCTTCACAAGCTCTTAAAACTGAAGAAACACCAAACTTGTAGACTGGATTATTTATTTACTGTTGCATTTATCTCAGTTCTCATTTATCTGAGTGTACAACATGTATATATGTGGTTGGAAAAGGAGAGAAGGTAGGAGAAATTTTTACTCTCACTTTATGCAAAACCTTTTGATGTCTTGTGTGCTGCTAATTCAGAATTGTGGATCCTGCACTATGACAGGGCACCTGGAATATTTCCGTTGCACTTCCCAAATCCCTGTAGATTTGCTGTTAGTGCTTCACAAATGTTAGTGAGCTCGTCATTGAATTCCTATAGGAATGGTTTGTGTTACTATCCCACTGTCAGAAATACCTACTGCTTTTAGACAGCCAGCTTGGAATTCATATTTCAGAGCACTTAACCTTTTTATAAAATGTAATGCAATGGGAACTGGCTCCAGCTGAAGTACTCTCTGTGCCTGCAAATCATCCCCAGATGTTTCATATTAGATACCCAAATAATAAGGAATGTATAACTTGTGGTCACATTTTGAAAACTGTGGTTTGGGCGACATTCTCGGCATCATACAGAATTTAAATAGAGAGGCAGGGACAGAATCCCAGATCTCCGTGTCCACGTTCAGAAGAAAATAGGCAGGTGTCTATTTAACGTAGGACAACACCGATCTAATGCACTGAATGCGTCAGAATTCCTGTGGAATTGATTGGAATTCCTGTGGAATGGGAGTATTTGACTCCATTGTCACATCTCTTTTATAAAATCAAAATATTAGAAAGTAGTGGTAATTCAAGAGTAGTCCATCTTGTTCCTTCTGAGTGCTAGGAATTCCTATGCATGACAGGAGCTGTGATGTACGATCAAATATCAGCCTACCAACTAAGCTGGTAATCTAGTTAACTTTATAGTAGTTAAGGGGATGTGAGAGATTAGCCAGGCCCTAGTCCAGTTTATGTATCCTGAACCTTAGAAACTAATGCAATGGTTGTCCAGCCTTTTGGCTTGCCTGGGTTACAATGAATGAAGAGGAATTGCCTAGGGCTGCATCGATGAAGGTTGCTCTGAAAGCAACATGTCCTAATTATTTCAATGGAAAATAAAATTGATACAAAGAGTACGATGGCACCATTTGATAAAGCAAATTCTCAGCTATGAAACAGTCTTTTTCAACACAGTCACCAACAGCTGTGCATTTTTGCCAGTGAACAAAAGCCTTCATGCTGAGCTCATGAACAATCAGTGGAGGTAGGCCACTGTTGCTGTCACCACTGTTGTAATACACCTCCCACTGCCTCACTGTAAATACATCCACTGTTTGGTCTCCAAAAATGTTCAGCAAGCGATAGTGATTGTCAATGCATGCCATTTTTTACACATGGGGGAATTCAGTGATACACAGTTGCTTCATATGCACTTCCATCTCATACACCATCGTGTCAGACTGCCCCTCTGCTGCTGTCACATGGAAACAACATGTAATTTAGGTGGGAAGGTTTAACCTCTGCTGCCATACCACCACCATCTGCCTCAGACACAGTGGGCCAATGTCATAAAATAGGAGGCATTATTTTCTGAGTGGCCCTCATTAAATATATGTTACAGTTAATGTGTATAAACAGCAAAACTTATTTTAATTGTTAATGTTTTTTCTTATTGAAAAATATAAAAAAGAGAGCAACAAATCCATCAAACCAATGGGATATGTGACCCAGTTATGGTGAAACTACCACATCAGGCTGGTTCAGTGGCAGTGGTTGCCATTTTCAGTGAGCTCTCAGCATGTTCATTAGGGAGTTTTGATGAAATTTTACTCTTCCTGTGCTTCATCCTTCACAGCTGTGAATGGTTGTTCACAAATGTTCATAGTGCCAAAATGTGGTGACACAAGTAAGGTGTGACTGTGAAGTGAGGGGTGTTCCTCACTGGTGAGTGAGGGCTTATTAGAGTCTGGTAATGAGATGTGGTCAGATTTTGGATTGCAACTCTATGGATTCAATTTGAAAATTCACAAGTAATGTATTAATGTTGGCTAGAAATGGAGTCACAAATAAACCCAAAAGATCAATGATTTTTTTACAACCTTTAAATCTATTCTCAAATTATGTTATCAAAATGGAAAGCATGGCTTCATCTTTTTTGCTGTTCAAAAGACTGTGCTTAGCAAATGCATCAAAATCCATGACCTTATTTGCCACCATGTGAGTTAGCACCACACTGCGCCCTGTGCCCTGGTTTCAGCCCAGATGGGGCAAACAGAACACCAATATTTGGTGATGAGTGATGTTTGTATATCTTGGGCCAGGCTGCTCAGTAGGAAGAGCTGCCGCTGTGACTGTGCATGGCAGAGAGTGACTGTGGTTGAGTTGAGTTGGGCTGGACTGGGCTGCATGCAGCCCATGGGCCATAGGTTGCACATGCCTGATAGAACATATGAATTTGAATTCTTTTTTCTTTACTGGGAGATGTAACTCATAGGGAATTTTAAGAGGAAAATGATGCTAAGACTCACTCTAAAGCTTACTTCAGCCTCAACAAAAAAAAAAAACAACAACACAAAAACAAATAAATGCTGTGAAACAATGGGGATAGAGATGAGCTGTGACTGCAGCAACCTGCAGAACTGTTTTCATGGTAGCATGGGGCTAAACATGATGGTACCAGGGTGGCTTAACTAGGAGCAGGCTCCGAGTGTGCTTACATTGCATACTTGTGCATGGAAGCTGAAGGCACATCTTGGAAAGGACCCCTGAACATGACTCAGTGAAAGCAAATCATGAGACCTTTTGAGGCACAGAGCTGCTCGAGCAATTGGGATAAATTTTGCCTTTAATTCCTCACGGTAATGAAAACAATCCTTCAATGGCCTTGAGCGCTATATGCTTATATTTTTGGAGATTTCCAATCATAGCTTATTCTTTAACGATTAACATGAAGCCTTGTGAAATCAGGAAGAATTACAACTGGGAAATTTGAGAAAAATGAACATATGTGTCATTTATGTAAATAATGAAAAGCTCACCAGTGCAAATAATTATAAAGATAGGACTGAAAAACCTGTTCACTGTCAGATCATATGCATTGCCTTTATTTGCCATAGGACATTGCGTACAGTCTAAGAAAGGAGAGGGAAGAAATTTCAGTAGGAAAATACATCCTTTAGATCTTGTACATACAACAGAGATCATCCTTGCTCTGGTTAAAGATACATGAGATGACCTAAGTTTTACCTCTCCTTTTTGAGCTCCCATGCAGTACTCATGAGAGATTTGGACCAACTGGCAGTGCTAGAGATAGGAAAGGTGTGGCAGGAGAAAGAGAATTTTTAAGGTGAATGCAAAATTACGAAGCAATATTGTGGATTAAATTCTCCCAGAGCTGAAAATAGCTCATTCTTTTCAAATGCAAATGATGCAAAGATATCTTGTACATAAAAAGGTGAGAGCGCACACTTACTAATGACACATAATATCGAACATATTTTAATTTAGGCTATCCAGAGAGTGCTAGTCGGGAAATTGATATAGGCAGTAAAAGTCATTAGAGATATTTACAGAGGTTTCAAAAATAGGCTATACCATTTTTACCAGAAGTCTGAGAAGGTGGTAGCTAGAATTAACTTCAATTTCCCTGGTTACAGAATTGGCAGAATTAAAGTTTCCCTGCAGTGCGATGAAGTTGGTGCTACAGGAAAGAAGGGGACAGATTCTTTGGCAGGGTCTGTGGCGATAAAACAAGGAGAAATGGCTTCAAGTTCAAAGAGGGTAGATTTAGGTCGGATATAACAAAAAAAATCTTTTACAGTGAGGGTGGTGAAACACTAGAACAAGTTGCCCAGTGATGTGATTGATGCCCCATCCCAGGAGACTTTCAAGGTGAGGCTGGATCAGGTTCTGGGCAACTTGATCTAGCTGTGGTCTCCCTGTTCACTGCAGGAGAGTTGGACTAGATGGCCTTCAGAAGTCCCTTCCAACTCTAAGGATTCTATGATTCTATGGTGTTATCCCTCCAAAACATTATTCTTTTAACCTGCTGCTCAGGAGCCCACAGATTTCCAGTGTAGCA